ATAGGTTTCTTTTCTATCATTCATTTCAATATTTTGAAGTTTTTGACAATTGTCTTGCCAGCAGTCATTTACAGAAATATTCCATTACTACTCCTTTAAACATTCACCATTAAAAAGGAAGAGAATGATGAAAACACATATTAATTAAATCTGGTATTTTAGGGCACAGTAACTTCAATAAATCTGAACAGAGTTTAAATGCATGTCTGTATTCAAAATGACTGGAGGCATACTCATAAATATTCTATTTTATATAAGGAGATGTCTCTTGTAATCAGAGTAATAACCACTGATGACTTAGATATATTTTAAATACTTGATTAAATATTTCACTCCTGCCAACAAATCCACTATGAATTATCCTCCTTAATGATACAAATTTATGCCTTTCAGGTTGATTTTAACATATAATATTGAACTGGAAAGAAACTGAGCAAATATTTTGCACAGGAGAAAACAGGCATTAAAGCAACAGTGCTTCTTCATAGGTTTCTGCAGAGTAGGGACAATATTATCTCCCACAGCTTTATCAAACAAAATGTAGAAAAGCCCCCACTTGCTCAAAAACATTTGGGGTTGGCAAGCATTCTGGCTATTTTCACATTGCTTGGCTAAGAATTTCTTCCACATAGATAATTCCTTTCAAAGGCTTACAATGCAATGAAATACATAATACTATTTGATTACAATGAATCATTTTTTGATGAGGGAAGTGCAAACTCTTAAAATCCCTCAATTATAACTTTTTTCTGTTTCATTGAAATACTGACAACTGAAAATGCACACACATAAGGTGCACAACATGGTTTAATAGCTATATACATTTTGAGATGATTACTACAATGAAACTAACAAATCCATCATTTCATAATTACTTTTGTAGTGAGAACACTTAGTTCTTAGAACTCGCTTAGTAAATTTCAAGTACACAGCACAATATTATTAACTATAGGCACCATGTTGTAATTTGATCCCCAGAAAGTATTCATTCTGCACAACTGAACTTTTTGCTCACTTGACTATCTGCCATTATCTCATCACTCCCTAATCCCTGACAAACACCCCTCTATGTTCTACTTTAAAAACCTCAAACTTAGATTCCACATGTGATACCATGATGTATTTGCCCTTCAATGTGTGACTTAATTTACTTAGCGCAATGTCTCAAGGTTCATTCATATTGTTGCAAATGGAAGGACTGTCTTCTGTTTTAAGGTTGAATAATACTTCATTATTCATTTTCTTTTGATTTCCCTTCTTTTGGATATATACTGAGAAATGGGGTTGGGGCACCAAATGGCAGTTCTATTATTAAGTTTTTGAGGAACCTCCCTTCTGTTTTCCACAGTGACTCTACTAATTCACACAAACAACTAAAAGTGCTCATTTTCTCCACGTGGCCACCAGCATGTGTTCTTTGTCTTTTTTATACAAGTCATTCTAAAAGATATTCTAAAAAAAATATTTCATTGTGGGTTTGATTTGCATTTCCCTGAAGATGAGTGATGTTGGCCTCTTGTTTGTGTTCTTTTGAAAGTGTCTATTAATGACTTCCCATTCAGGCTGTTTTTGCTACAGTGTTGCTTGAGTTCTTTATATATATTTTAGATATGAACTCCCAGTCATATGTATGATTTGCAGGTACCCCCTCCCTCATTTCACAAGGGGACTTTATTCATTCTTGTATTTGCTGTGCAAAAAAAAATTGTTTAGGTTGATACAATATCACTTGTCTATTTTTGTTTTTGTTGCCTCTGCTTTTGGTGGCATTAAAATTGTTGCTCATACCTAATGTCAAGAAATTGTCTATGTCTACACTCCCTGTTTTTACAGTCTCACATTTAAATCTTTGATCTATTTTCGATTGACTTTTGAAAATGGTATGAGACTGTATATTCCTGTCACCTCTTATTCCTGCCTCCTAACCTGCCCCCCTCATGCTACTGGAAAGCATGCCCAATCCCTATAATATCAGACTATTTTTTGACCTGGCACCACCTCCTTTATCACTGCTGACAACTCCTGTCAGCATCAATTTTCCAAGACCATATTTCCTCCTCCCATCCCTGTGAATACTACACACATTTTAATAGTAGCTTTAGAATTGTCATTCATTCAAGAATTGTGACATAGATCTTAATACAGTCAATATGCCAGGAGGAGGAAAAGCAGTCCAAATACTGGTTGATAGTAGAGGAAATATAATAATGAGTTATCCTCAGCAAACCTCATTCATATTGGATAGCCATCAACTTTACCTCCAGAGATCACATAAGAGGGAAGTGGAATATGGAAGAAACTTCTCGAGCTATTTTATTAATGAGTTCCCTATTGAAAAGAAAACACTGCTAGACTTCAATGATGCTTATTGCTGATATACACAAGCCTATATATATGCCTTCTTTTTTCCCACGCCAACCTAATCACCTTATTTTTTTTTTTTAATTTGATAAACATCTTACCTTAGTAATATTAAGCAATAGCCTAGAGAGTGGAATCAAGAGGAATTTTAAGTTCTCATGTTCTGGTAGAACTCAATTGGGACAAATGATAAATTTATCTGTTTTTTTTTTTGGAATGTTATTATTCCAATAAATATTATTATTCTTAGAGTCAAACGGAAAAATCAACAAGGTCCTTATAAAATATGTCTTTCACATAAATCATTAGTTATCCTGTTTCCACTCCAAATGGGAATTAAATTTGCATTAATTCATTAACTTCCTCTCAGCCAGTCCTCCACCTTAATACTTATTTCTATCGTGTAGCATTTATTTCCCGAGTCAGGAATTCAGCTGACATAAAGGTACAATCCCTGAAAGGAGCTGGATCTATAGTTTTGGCCTAGTGATACCACACAGGAAGCAAGTAAGCTGATTGTTGTCACATCTATATTCAAGAAGCAGCAGCTGAACTTTATGATAGACCTTAGTGACTCACTGATTTTATTTCAGTCGTTCGACTCCCACTTGTGGAATGCTGTTAGATTATTAGACTTAAATAGTGGCGTAAATTCAGTGTTGTCAGGAATAAACAGGTTTTTCACAGCTGGAAGCTTCTAGAAGCTAAGGAATAGAAATGAACCATGTTTTCTGAAATTAGTTCTGGCGATTTTTATATTGAAAAATATTAGAGATTTTTTCAAAAAAAAACTATAAGGAGCTCCTTGCAATAGTATGGAACATACTATTGGAAAATTCAAAAGAAATTGTTTAATTGTAGCTATTGATAATATTGTATAGCATTCCATATCTAATGTGAAAATTATATCTCTATTCACTGAACTGGCTCTGTAGTTTAACAGATAACAAAAATTATATCTATAGAGATTAATTAACCCAATCGAGGTGAGCTAAGAGAAAATAATGCAATACTTCACTTCAAATATTTCTCTCTGGTATCAGCTGGACTTAGTCAAACTCTAGAACGAAAACTAAAATGGAGTCACTTAAGTCAGGAACAAACAGCAGTTGGCTAATGCAGCTACATTAAAGAAAATTAAACCTAACCTTAACAACATAAGTTGGAAGAATTTATAGCTCTCTCCAGAATGAGAAGAAAACACTAGCCATTCCCTAAATACCAAGTGTGCTCACATCATCTGTGAACTTCATGTTGCCCTGACTGAGCTACCTACATCCAATTAATGAAGAACATTGAGAAGACCAAGCAGCGGAAAAAGCGAAATAAAATCAACATTAACCAGGAAGAAACCCTTGAGGGGTTTGGAGGGTGTGGGGCGGGGAGACTCCCTGCTCCTATAGATTTAAGTTTCCCGCATGCAAGTTGAAACCTTTGCAATAAATTCAATTTCTGCCATCCTTTACACGATGTGCAATTGTGTATTTTGGCAAAAATCTAAGCCTCACTTTTTTTTGCTCTAAAGGTGAGAAGTGATACACTACCAAAGACACTTGATGAATTCGCCAATGAAGACTGCTTACCCATGGCTCCCATTAGCACTACTTTTGGTCCTTGCCTAAGGAAGCCTTGCACTAGGTATTTCTACATCGGGTTTTACCGGGCTTGGTTTATATGAACGGCTTCTTTCAGAAGGTCTTAGAGGTCTGATGAAGTCCTGTACTAAGAACGGGTCATGTTGAACTTTTCACGCAATTACAACAGATGTTCTTAGGCAAGAACTTACTTTTGGTGATGACGTGCTTAAAATGCCCCTCCAGAGCGCAATGCCGAATCCTTACTATGTGTTTGTAATCTTTCGTACCAGGTCTGATGCGGGGGGATAGAAAGGGCGGAGAATGGGGGTGGGGGGGGCGGGTGTCAGAAGGGGGGCAGGATACTTACTGGATTTTGGACTTACGAAGTCTTTGGTTATTTCAAAGGTAGTTAAGCATAAGCGTACCTGCATAAGAAAGAGGCTACCTCTCAGTGAAGAGAAGGAAAATGATTAGGATATTGGAAGGTCAGCTTTAACACAATGACTCAAAAGTTTTTCTCTCATCTTAAAATACTTGTTAACGGGAAAACAACTGGGTGTCCCTTGGTCGCGCGCTAACATAGTTACTTACATTTCCCTGGAAAGTCTTTTGACAGACTTTTTTGAGGGAGACAACTTCATCTGTACCTAATTAGTGGCTGCTTTCCAAAAGCCCTAAAAAAGCGTTTGCATAATTCTTGTCAGACTTTTCAATAAAGTCACAATTCACTCCTCACACGCTTCAAGGAGAGCCCCGCCCCTTCAGCGAGAGCCCCGCCTCTACCTAGACCTGAGTAGAGCCCCACCTCCTCTTTAGGTTCCAGCCAATCCCGTAATCTCCACGGTTGTGCGGCAAAGCTATCGCGAGATTCCAACTGCAGTCCTCCATTGTCTTTACCCGTGTGGACTTGCGCAGAAGAGACTCATGAAGCCACTGCGGGAGAAAGAGGGCGGGGCGTCCCGACGTGCGCGTTCGCCTTGACCTCACGCTCCAGCGCGCACCCCGCAGCTGAGGGCTGTGGATTCAGGGCCCCGCGGGAACCCCAACTCAAACCTGCGTAAAGCGCGCGTGGCCACCCAGGGAGGTGTTCGGCGGGTGGCGAATGCTTGCCCAGGATCTGCGGAGGCACCACTAAAGGACCCCGGGCCTTGGGACAGAGCGGCTCTGGAGGCTTGGAGAAACCCTCTAGGTGGGCTCTCGGGTGATGGTGGGTCAAGGGTCAGGGGTTGGTACCACAGACGTTTCTGGGTGGTGACGGAGGTCCTAAAGAGGGAGGGCTCGTGTGTTCTGGAGCCCGGGGAGGTGGAGAGGGGTCCACGGCGAGTCTCTCCGTCACTTCCCCACCCCGGATGAGCGGGCCTTGAGTCGCCTCAGCACCCC